ACTTCCTGGTTTACTGATTCTTCAATTGCCATAGACATTTAAAGGACCACTATAGTGCCAGGAAAACATACTCATTTTCCTGGCACTATAGTGCCCTGAAGGTGCACCCACCCTCAGGGTCCCCCTCCTGCCGGGCTCTGGGGGGAGGAAGGGGTTAAACTTACCTCTTTCTCCAGCACTGGGCGGGGAGCTCTCCTCCTCCTCTCCTCCTCTTCTGCTGAATGCGCATGCGCGGCAGGAGCCGCGCGTGCATTCAGCCAGTCCATAGGAAAGCATTCACAATGCTTTCCTATGGACGCTTGTGTCTTTTCACTGTGAAAATCACAGTGAGAAGCGCGGAAGCGCCTATAGTGGCTGTCAATGAGACAGCCACTAGAGGCTGGATTAAACCATTTATAAACATAGCAGTTTCTCTGAAACTGCTATGTTTATAGAAAAAAGGGTTAAACCTAGTTGGACCAGGCACCCAGACCACCTCATAAAGCTGAAGGGGAGGTGGAAGCTGGGAAGGGGGAGGATTCCCCTTAGCCCAGTAATCAGAATCCCGAACCCCGCCCCCCATGCGTAGCTTTAAGGAAGACGGTGTCTGCCATCGATCTGTGACAGGAACAGGTTGACGTGTTTGGGTGTAAACAGCAAAATTCAGACCTGGCCCCATGACCTCATACTCTTTTCTCCTTCCCGTCCCTTCCCCGTCTCCCAACCTCTCTTCCTCCTGTCTATGTCCCTCCTCTCCCTCTTCTATTGCTCATATTACTCCTGGATTTGTTTCTCACCAGTTTAGTAGTTATTCATGGTTCGGTATGGTGTGACCCATGGTCGTTACAGTTGCTATTGTCTGACCATATAGGTCAGTAGAGAAGTGTCTAGAGCATGTGGAAGAAGATCACTTTCGGGGGCTACATTCACCCTCTACCTTTACTGTTCAACGTGTTATTTTATTCCCTTTCATATAAAAACAAAAATCTTACTGACGGTTAGTTTATTGTGCATACTGCCTTATCAATTTACTCCTACCTCAATTTGAGGTCACCTGTAATTGCCCTAAATGTCTATATATTTGTGCTGTATTCTATGGGACCGTATTGTAACGGTACTGCTTTTTCCTTTCTGTATTTTGATTGCTAACTACCGATATGCTTCAATAAAGAAAAAAAATTCATAGAAACTATAAGATAAAGGAGGTAATCACCTGCCATACAAATTTTTTTATATATTTATTAATATGCCCATGTGGACTCACTTATGTGGGCCACACAAAGAGAGCTCTCCATGTCAGAGTGGAAGAGCACACTAGGAATATTAAAAAACATACGAGGGACATAGCGTATCCACACATTTTAAAACCCACCACAATAGTGACCCACGAGGTTTACAATTCATGGGCAACCAGAAAATTATTGGCAATTGGAGAGGAGATGATATGGCAAAAATTCTGGGCAAGTCTGAGATGGAATGATTTTTAATTTAAACTCACCACAGCCAGGAGGTCTTAATGCAGACTTTGAGTTATATCACTTTTTATGAAAAATCAACTGCATCTTTTATTCCAATTTTATAATCATTTTTAACATAATGGTTTTTTTTTAAATTCACTGCAAGTGTACAAATATTTAATAAAAGTGCCACATGAATATGAATATCAATGCACTTGTCACTATAAATACTTTAGTCTGACACCCTTCTCTTTTCCCTTCCCTTCTCCAAAATGGACGTTTTTGACCTGGGAGGGAAGATACATATTAGGGTACTGTGGAAACTGCAGATAGACTCACTGACAAAACTGGAAGTAACGCAACTCAGCCAAAGATACACATCATCAAAGACCGCTAGGAAGTGACCTTGCTTCCGACGGGACGAAGAAAAACCACTACATACAACATAGTAAGGGCAATTTGCCCATAAAGCTCAATGATTGGAGGAAATGCATCACGTGACCGCAACAGATGAATTGAACATGGATATTTAAATGGATTCTTGGACCTGGAATACATCACAGCCAACTGAAGAAGCTTTCACAGCGAAACGCGTTTTGGCACAAATGTTCCCTTTTATTTGTTTTTATACATGTTTTTTTATTTGACAATTTTTGATTTTAAATATTAATTCCAAATAAATAGTGGATTTTACCAACATTTGGCAGTCAGTCCTGTTCCAGGTTCCAGATTGAGGAGTGTCACCCCACAAATTGACACTAGGCATTTACACCTGAGAGCCAAGGCACATATGGGCTCTTATTAAGGTGAGATTCCCTTTTATAGAGTGTTTTAAAGTTTTTGGTATATACAAACATACAGTGTCCCCCTGGACAGAACAGGGAAGGGGGAGCATGACTGCTGCCCAGGATAGTGGGATGGTACAATGGTAGCAACAATGTTGCAAAGATGGAAGGATTTATAAGGGGGTAACAGGAGAGGAGACTTACCAGTCAGAAGGAGATTGTCATTACCCTGGTTGAATTTCTTTCACTGACTGTAAATTTTCTGCCATTTCTGTTCTGTGTTTACCTGGGCCTGCAAAATAAACGACAATCTCCTGTTAATTCACTGATGGAGGACTAGGCTTCAATATGGCCACCCCATCTCTGGAAGAATTGGTAAAACTGTTGGCTGCTTACCAGGAGTCCCATGGATCTTTGGACCAGGTGCTGTCTCAAGTTCAGCAGGCTGCAGGAGGACGACCAGACCGGCGTGAGGGTGATGATTCCTTGCTGAGCGGGCGGAGGGCCAGAAGGTCAAGGCCTCCGTTGCGTTTATCCCCGAGTCCAGTGAGGAGGAGCGGGGGACGGAGTGTTCCACGCTTTGAGGGAGGCAGCGGTGAGGCCGGGCGCTTCCCAGCGCGAAGATTGGCCAGTCGGAGGCGGAGAAGGGCCGGACAGGTGATTGTGGAGTCCGGGCCCCAAGATGGCGGCGATCAGGATGGCGGGAACCCGTCCGGAAGGTCGCGCAGCCCGCGCGCTTCTCTTCCGGCGCGGGTGAGTGGGACGTCATCACACACACAAGCCGGCGTGCGTGCAACGTCGGACGTCATGACGCCGCGGCGCGCATGCGCGCGGCCGACCCGGGCTGGAGCCGGAAGTTCCTCTGCGGTGCAGGAGCACCGTGGCACATTGCAGCAAGGACCGCAGACGTGCGCACCCGGCGCCTGCGGGTCCCAGCAGCGGGAAGCAGATGGCAGCAGCACTCAATCCGGATCTGAAGATGGAGAGGAAGAAGCAGTGTTCCCCAGTGGGTCCGGTCTGCCTCCTGCAGCATCAGCACGTGAGTACTGCGCTAGCGCTTGGGATGCGCTGGCTGGGGATGATAGGGGGCAGAGTCCACAGGTGATAGGGGAGTTAGGTAAAAAGAGGGATTTCAGCAGAGTTGATTTACTTAGGCAAGGTGATTTAGTGAGTCAAGGGGGGTTGGGTAGCACTGGGGATTTAGTTAGTTTATTGAAGTCTGTTTTGGAGCGGTTACCTAGCGATGCCCCCCCTTCTACGCGGATGGATATGCGATCTGCGGCGCAGATTCCTATCAGGGACAGGGTTACGGGCATTTTGCGTCCGCGGTTGCCGGGCTGTGAGTTGTCCCCGTTGGGCTTGCATGTCGCAGCAGACGTCAGAGATAAAATAATCCGAGGTGAGTACGTCGACTTCCTGGCGCTGGTTCCACCGGACAGGGAGTCGGTGGATAGACCGCGGCGAGGTGAGATGGGTGAAGGGTAAAAAGGTAAGCAACTTCCTCGCACTTTTGGGAATTGGTTGCAGGGTTTTTCAATTTTTGCAAGCATCTTAACGGGTACTTTCCTGGATAAGGCTCCCTCCTTGTTCTGTTATTTGGATCTCATTTGGGGGGCGTACAAGGTTTATGGGGGGCAATGTTGGTACCGATACGACCAGCAGTTTCAGCAGAAGATGGCGGTTAGCGAGGGCATGGATTTTGGTGTACAGGATGGCAGCTTATGGCTGCTGTTGATGACGCCTTGCCGGCCCTCCCCCTTTCCAGGGACAGCCGGCGCGCTGGCTAGTGCGCCGGCGGGGCAGCGCAGGGGAGTCTGTTGGCTCTTTAATGAGTCCCACTGTAAGTGGTACAACTGGCATGAGTGTTCGCACTGTGGCGGAGCACATCCCGCCGTACGCTGTTTCCATCTTCTGGGTTGTCAATTTAATGGTTTGTTTTATTATGATATGTGTTTGCCCATGGGGTGTGCCATATCCTGCTCCTATTTCGAGATGTTTGCGACATTCTTGGAATGGGTCATGTCTCAGGTGTCGGGTTTGTCCTCGTTGACCCACTACCTGGATGATTTTTTGTTTGTCGGGTCTGGTGATTGCACCGACTGTGCGGTTTTGTTGTCGGCATTTCGGCAGATTACATCAGAATTTGGAGTCCCGGTGGCGATAGACAAGACGTTCGGACCGGTGGGTAAGTTGTCTTACTTGGGGATCGAGATTGACTCTTGTGAGATGGTCTTTCGATTACCAGAGGACAAGCTGGGTCAGTTACTCTGCCTTATTGACCGAGTCAAGGGGTCCAACAAAGTTCAGCTGCAGCTAATGCAATCGCTTTTGGGTCATCTGAACTTTGCTTGCCGTGTTTTGTCTATGGGCCGAGCGTTCTGTCGTCGCTTGTCCCTGGCTACGGTGGGGGTTAAACAGCCATTTCACTTTATCCGGATTACAAGTCGACTGCGGTCGGACTTACAGGTGTGGAGCGCCTTTTTAGGTACGTACAATGGTCATTCTTGTTGGTTGCGCTCGGAGGTGTCGAACGGTGAATTGGACCTGTTTACTGACGCATCGGGGTCCATAGGGTTTGGAGCCTATTTTCGGGGAAAATGGTGCGCGGCGGAGTGGCCGTCCACCTGGCGAGGTTCGGAGCTGATGGGTAACCTGGCGTTTCTTGAATTGTTTCCCATTGTGGTTGCTGTAGAATTATGGGGTTCGGGCTTGGCGCACAGGAAGGTGATTGTTCACACGGACAACATGAGTGTGGTCCAGGTGATCAATCGTTCCACGTCTGGGTCCCCTCCGGTTTTGGCATTGCTCAGGCGTCTAGTGCTACTCTGTCTTCAATGTAATTTGTGGTTGGTAGCCAGGCATGTTCCGGGGGTGGACAATGTCATTGCTGACTCTCTTTCTCGGTTTCAGTGGGACCGTTTTCGGGAGGCGGCTCCGGAGGCGGCGCCGACGGGAACCCCGTGTCCGCCTTACTTGTGGGACCTGGTTTTGGACATCTGAGGCGATTGATCCGAGGGTCCTTATCGGAGTCTTCGTGGAAGGCATACTCCGCGGTATGGGATCGCTGGTGGGCCATGGGTAGGAACGGGGATGTGGCGTCAGACTCCGGCAGATTGACCCTTACGGTGTCGTTCCTGGAGTCTTTGTGTGCCAGAGGTAGGTCGTCTGCAGCAGCTGAGCAATCGCTGGCTGCTCTCTCTTTTTTATTTCGTTTTTTAGGGTGGTCGGATGTCACCAAGGCTTTCTGCGTTTCCCGTATTTTGAAAGGGTGGAAAAAGCGCCGCGTTCCTGACAAACGGCGACCGATCTCGGGGGACATGCTGTTCCAGCTGTTGGAAGTTCTTCCAGATGTGTGTAGCTCTGCGTATGAGGTACTTTTGTTTCGGGTGGCATTCTCCTTGTGCTTCTTTGGGGCGCTGCGTATCGGTGAGCTGGTTGCCCCCAGGGTGAGTTCAGTGTCACCCCTTAGGCTTTCCGACGTATCAGTGACACCAGAGGGCGTTACGCTGTTGATTCGTCGGTCCAAGATGGATCAAGCGGGTACGGGAGCGAGAGTCCGTATAGGGCTCACTGGGGGTGTATTTTGTCCGGGGTACTTGTTGCAGGCATACTTGGGCGCCAGGGGCGGCGCTGAAGGCTCGCTGCTGGTCCATTCTAATGGGGCCTCCCTGAGCCGCTTTCAATTTGCGAGCCTCTTGCGGAGTTGTATTGTTAGATTGGGGGGGGACCCCAGGTTATACTCCACGCATTCATTTAGAATTGGAGCGGCAACACAGGCAAGCGAACTGGGTTTTCCGAAGGAGGCGCTTATGCGCCTGTGGCGCTGGGAGTCGGGGCGATTTCAGCTTTACGTGCGCCCTCATTTGCTGTGATGGTATGCCTCTGTAAACAATTAAGTCTAACCGTTATTCCTTGTTTTGTAGGCCAAGTTCCTCGTTATGTCTGGATTCTGGGGCATTCTTATATTTACTGGGCAGCTAGGAGGGCGGAAGCAAGATCTCATGGCCGGAATTTGGGGTTCCCGTTTCAGGACGTTAGGGTACGTTGGCGGGGATTGAGGGGGTTACGTTGGGATCAAGTGTACGGCGAGTGACGCTGATATTGCACGCAGGCGGGAATGATGTTGGCCGACGGCGGTCGGTGGATCTCATTCACGACATGCGGCATGATTTAGCGCACTGTTTTGCGCTTTTTCGTGACTTGACGTTGATTTGGTCAGAGATAGTGCCCCGTCCAGTGTGGCAAGTGGGTGGTTATGGGAAGGCGTTTGAACGTTGTAGGCGCAAGATTAATGTTGCTATTTCGCGCTTTGTGCGTAGTTTGGGCGGAATAGTGGTACGGCACTTTGAGTTGGAGGGGAATTATTCAGATGTGATGCGTCCGGATGGGGTTCATTTGAATCCCATTGGGCTGGACATTTTTAATGTGGGGCTGCAGTCGGGCATTGAGATGGCGCTGTCTGCGGGGGGGCGCGAAGCCGGTGCAGGTCAGGCGGTGGCAGGTCGGCTTCGCGGTGGCGGTTTTCCCTGGACAGCGGAATCGAAAAGGAAAGGACTATGACGCAAGGTCACATTGGGGAGACAACAGTCGGCGCAAGGCTGATGGCTAGCGACGGCTGTGTTGGGCTCATGGACAACAAAGGAAGTGAACTGCCTGTTGGGTCCTCACCCAACAGCTGGCAGGAATTAACAATTAAGTTTACTGTTTAATAAAGCTGTGGCCGTTGCCCTTATCCACTAAAAGGTGTCCAGTGTATTATTTGGGGGCAACGGTGGGGATGGAATATGGGTCAGCAGTCATGTATAATCGCCTGTTTTGTTTGCCTTGAGATCCTCATCTATCCAAGAAGATGGGGTGCTGCCTATAAAAGCACATCTGCGCTACTATAGAGCCTTATCTGAAGATTGTGAGTGTCTACTTATTTTTACTTTGCATTCAGCACCTTTAAAGTACCATCTGCACTAGATTTGTTACAGTAAGACAGTAAGGGGTAAGCAATAATTTGCTTGTTTATTATTTAGCGCTCCACTCACTGATTATAAGATTTATCTTGTCAATCATTTTTGCTATATATTTATGGTGAGGGAAGAAAGGTATCCCCTCACGGGTGTTTAAGAGCAGCTGTTCACTATATAGATTTTGAAGCGCTATTTATTGTTCACACTAAATTCACTAGTGAGTTACTCTTGTTAGTCTTGCAAAGATGTTCAAATGGTTGAACCCTAGCTGTTAAAGCATTGTGGAAAATGCACACCAGTTGAGTAGCTACATTTAGGACACCCTTGCACCAGGACTTACTTTACATTAGCTCTGCCACTGACTAGCAGTGCTTTGAAATAAAAAAGGATAACACATTTGTAATTTTTTATTTCTTGTAGAGCGATACTATCTTGTTGATGCTGTCATATTAAGGGAGACTAAATGTACCTTGCTGAACAACATATAAATTGGTCCTGGCTGTCAGTAATTACGCTTTTGAGAATATGCAACACGTTATACAAGCATAAAAACTCTATATGTTGCATAAACTAAACTAAAACTAAAGAGCAAAAGCAAAATTGAAGAATGTGGTGCCAATAAAAACAAAAATTAATTACAATAGTAAGACTTGAACTTTCCCATTAAAGCTAATTCGATTAACATACTACAATTAAGCTCTTTATTTTTTTACAGCTCAGGTGATAAGTATGTTGGAAAACAGGATTGTCCTGAATAAGACAGGTTCGATGTCCAGCCTAGAAGGCTTGTAGGTACATATAATCTCTGTTTACATTACCTGCCCAAGTCATCACACTCTGCCTACTATGGGTGTAGTGTTATACAGACAGCAACATACAGAGTTATTCACTAAACAGCAAATTGTTTGCAGATGCACAAAATCTGGTGAAGATTACTGATTCCAACCACAACGGCTATTCTCATATTTACTAAAGCCAAATAAGGATGGCATTTAACTTGTCCAGGCAAATTTGTACCAATCACCTAGGTGCATTCAGTGTCTATTAAAATCTGTGCCTTCTCATCCGAATCCCAGCATGAAGGACGTTCAAAAATTATCATTCACTTGCTTACATGCAAGTGAATGATAATTTTAAGTGCTATGCCAGCGGGCAAATAGTTAGTCATGTGAAAGCTGGCCAGTGCTTGTTAGCTAGCCACCACATTAAAAAAGTATAAAACATACGGAAAACAGGCACAGAGCAAACTGGCGCACTACTAGATACGGAGGAAGGGGAACAGCTTAGCCCTAGACATGGCGCTACCACCGTGCTTTTGAGTACAAGGGATATATATCAATCAAATTCAATAGCACAATAGAAGTGAAAACTGAAAAAAACAAACGAACAAACTGTAAGACGCTCTGAAATATCTGCATCTACCAGTACTGTGTAATATGTTTCTTGACACTTGCCATGTCTGTACACCCTACTGTGCTTAATTGTATTAGCAAATGTTTATGTACCCTGTTCTTCATTGCGGTCACTTGCTATGCATGACGTGATAAATAAAGAATTTTTAAAAAGTATAAAACAAACAAAAAAATAAATGAATAAATACCCTATGGGGTCAATGAGGGCTTGTGAAACAATGGGGGGTGAACATGATAATCTTTATCATAAGTAAGGACTATAAATTACGTAAGGGAGTGGACAGATGACTGTTCAACCCAGTGCCCACACCTGTGGCTAACGGGTGGGGATATTTAATAAAATAAAAGGGGGTACGTCCTTATGTCCCCTTTTGCCAACACTCAGGGTCAGTGAGTTTGGGCTATTGTGTATAGATGGTGGGTGGGGGCTCAAATTAAAGAAGAGAGGGATGGACATGCCATGTGCAACCCCACCCCACAGTTGGCTATGGGTCCCAAATCCCCTATCCACTCCCAAAATGAAGAACACTACCAGCTCCCCCTCACTTAAATAATAGTGAGGGGATTGCAGTAAAACATATATATACTTACCCATAAGAAGTTATCCCTCTTTATCAGTTGCAATCCCCAAACCCTGATGCAACTAATAAAAAAGATAAAATGATTTGGAAAACAAAACTACTGAAAATTTCAAAATGTGTTGCATTAAAATTAAACAATATTCCCCTCTGGAGGCTTCTGGACTGACAGATCTCTCATAACGGAGGCACTCTATGTAATATCAGTTAGAGCGTTCTGATTGGTTGGCTAGTAAGCCCGCCAATCAGAGTGCTCTAACAGTCAAGCCTCACTAAATATCAAACCAATCAGAACACATTTTGCCGCGCCCCCCCTTCCGCCCCCCTGTTAAAAAATACAAATGCATCTCCACCTGTGTGTCTTGAAACTCCCCCTTACATTTCTTAGCCCCGTTAGTGTTTGATAGCCCCTCTATTGAATGTCTTACCCCTTTTGCTCTTTAGTGTATTTTATTCACCCTTTAGGGTGTCTTACAACCTTGTGTGTTTCTTCCTTCCCACAACCCCTTTGGGTGTCTCTTACTTCCCCACAGCCCCTTTCTGTGTCTCTTTCTTACCCCAGCCCCCTTCTGTGTTTCTTTCTCCCCCCCAGCTCCTTTCTTTGTTTCCTTCTCCACCACAGTCCCTCAATCCGTTTTGTGTCTCCCTCCCCTCCAGGTCCCTTTGTGTGTCTTTACTCCCAAGCCATGTAGACATAGATATGCAGGCAAAAATGCATACATTCACAAATACACAAACATACAAACAACCATAAAGGCACACAATCAAACAGACATAATCATTTAGAGACATACAGACACACAGAGACATACAGTCACAAAGAGAAAAACATACAGACACATACAAACAGAGACATAAATACATACAGAGACATACATACACACATACAAAGACATACAAACATAAAGAGACATACATACATACAGAGGTGTACAGAAATACACAGACGTGCAGGCATGCACAGACGTACATGCTTACACAGACATACATGCATACAGAGGCATACAAACACATACGTACATACAGGCATACAGAAACATGCAGGCATACAGAAAAATACATACAGAATCATACAGGCATAC